TATCAGGCATCAAAGACCAAAAAAAAAAAAATTGTAACATTGTGAATGAGGGGGAGTGCAGAGTGGGGACCCAGGGCCCATCCGGGGGAAATTGGACATCCCCTTGCAGAAGTGCTGCGGGGAGATGAGGAGCAAATCGGAGTGCAGTGTAGCAAAGATGAAATATGCAATTTTCCTCTAGCTCTTAAATGCTTCCTCACCTCCCACTACCATGATCCCAATTCTACCTTACATATCCGGCTGGACCGGAGGAGGTGCACTGGCACAGATAGGAACGGAAATACAGTGAACCCAGGACAGATGAACCCCCCAGGACCAGTGGAGAGAGTGGCGATGGTGGGAGGGTGGAGGGAAGTAGAGGGAGAAAGGGGGAACAGAGGACAAGGTCTACATGTGGCCTCCTCCCTGGGGGACGGACAGCAGAGAAGTGGGTGAGGGAGACGTGGGATGGGGTAAGATATGATAAAATAATAATAAATTATAAATTATCATGGGTTCGGGGTGAGGGGGGAGCGTGGAGGGAGGGGGGAAAATGAGCTGACACCAGGGGCTCAAGTGGAAAGTGGGTGTCATAAGAATGATGAAGTCAACATATGTACTAAAGTGCTGGAAACAGATGTCGTATGTACAGATTGTGATGAGTTGTATGAGCCCCTAATAAAATGATTGTTTAAAAATTTTTTTTTATTGTGACTTAGGTGAAAGATTATAGAGAAAATTGGTTTCCCATTCAACAATTTCAGCAGGAATTTTCAGTTACTTCATGGAACTTGAATAGCACAATTCCTAGCTCTGTGGACAGACTCTATGATTAAAGAAGCTATTATCTTTTTACATGGAATTAAGTAACTATTTATTAGTAAATAGCTGTTGCTCTAACAATTCCAAAACAATTTCTAAATTTGAATACTTAAGAAATACCAGCAGGGTTAGCAGGGGAATAGAGGGATATACAGACTTGTGTTTAGAGCCTGACGACCAGACAACTCACTGGACTTTCATTAACTACTTGGTTACTTTGTTTTTAAGTTTGTTGGAATTATGAGCTATATTAAGACAAAGACCACCAACTAAAAAAGGGAAAGTCAAATTAGGTCAAAATATGCCTTGGATTTATTGAAATATGTTCATGTATCAAGATAGTTGAAAGCAATCAGAGGTCCCTGCTTCCTGTTTTGGGACTGACCAAAACCCCAAAATTGACCACAACATTTACAATTGTAGAGAAAAGAATATGAACAAATCTCTGACTTAGTAAATACCATGCCATTCTATAGCTTATTGAATGAAGAATTAGGAACCAGCTGAATATTATAGAAAAACAACACCTGCCTAAAGTATGATTGATTACCTTTGGGCCAGGAAGACCTGGAAGACCAATGCCTGAAGCACCAGGATCACCTTTGTCTCCTTTCTGCCCAGAGAACCCAGGGGTGCCAGGTTGCCCAGGTATTCCAGGAGGTCCAGAGGTCCCTTTTACACCCTGAGGACCTGTTGAAAATATGCAATATGTAATGCTTTACAAAATCTTCCTTATTGGTGGCATACATACTATACATCTCACACAGCAAAAAGAAAGTAACTGCAGATTCTGAGATATAGACTGATGCTCTTCATGGTTAAGATTTTATCACAGCCTTCTTTTAAAAAGAAAGTATACGTGAGAGCAGGATAGCTGTAGATAAGATTTCGGTTTTTGATTTCTGAGGGCTCAGATTTCTAAAGCTTTATCTCTTCATTTCTATGTCAAATATTTGTGCAGTCAAAGGAGCCAACCCACCGATTACTTTAGATAATGTGTCAGTCTGATTCTGTCAATACCATTATCTTTTCTGATAAGAAGTATAATGCGCCACCTTCCATTGTGGGACAAAATATTTTGGAGGATTTTCATCACTCACCTGGAAAACCCATATCACCTATGTTTCCTTTAGATCCAGGAGGTCCTATGGGTCCTGGGTCCCCAGGGAGACCGGGATTACCCTTGGGACCTAGAAATGTCAAATTAGTAAAATTACAAGAAGCTAACAAGACTGACGTTGCCTGGTTTCTTGGAATGAGTCCTATTTCATAGATAAGCCTGAAATTGGGTAAATCAAATCTTAATGTATGTTCCACGGGTCTAAACTCATCATAAAGCAGACAAGAGGTATATCTAAGAAATCTCTGTAGAAACACTGAAGTTTGATTTTTGGTACATTCACAACCACCTGCACTGAATGTTATCATTGATAAGTCCATTATAATAAGCCTATATTTAAAGGATTCAGAAATGGCGTTTTGTTTTTTTGTCCCTCTCCCTCCTCCTCTTCCCGCTGGCCCCCAGAAATGGCGTTTTCATGTAGGCCTTGATTATATGAGACCAGGAAGATGAAAAATAGTAATCTTTCCTGATATGTCAAGCCAGAAAGAGAGATAAAGGTTATTGGAAAAGATGAGGGCTATTGGCAGTCAGTCCCAGCAGGCATGGCTGCCCTGTTAGCTTATTGTTGGATTTAAGTGCTTAATCTCTGTAGATTTACCAAGTGGTTTTCCAATTATCCAGGGAGTCCTAATGGCATAGTGGTTATGCATTGGTCTTTGATCTGCTAGGTCAACTGTTTGAAACAACAAGTTTCTCTGCAGGAGAAGGACAGCTTTCTTCTCCAGTAGAGTTACAGTCTCAGAACCTTAAAGGGGCAGTATTAGGCCTGCCCTATTGGGTTGCTATGAGTCCGCACCGCCTTGACGGCAGTGAGTTTGGTTTGGTTTTTCCAAGGATCACAGTGTTGTACCTTTGAGCAATTTTCCTTTTTTTTCCTCTTAGATATGACTTCCATCATGGAGAAGAGACTGTAGAAAATGTGAGCAAGAGAAAGGGAGAGAGATTCTTTTCCCGATTATATGAGGGTTGTGTGGATGGAGTCTTGGTGGTACAGTGTTAAAGCGCTGGGCTGCTACTCCAAAGGGCAGCAGGTTCAAACCCACCAGCTGCTCCGTGGGAAAAAGATGTGACAGGCAGTCTGCTTTCATAAAGATTTACAGCCCTCGTAACTCTTTGGAGAAACTTCTACTCTGTCCTATTAGGGTTTCTGTAGGTCAGAAGCAACTCAAGGTTTGGTTTGGGCTTGTGAACATGGAGCTGAATCTAGAGCAGAATGACTGGTCTAGCCAGCTATTATAAAGATGGATACTGGCTACTTTTATTTCTTTAGTGGCCCAACCTCCAGTAAAATGTTTAAGCAGTAAAAATATTTTATTATGAATAAGGGTAAAAAAGTCCCTACATTTTGACGGGATGGGTGACTAATACTTTAACAGACTACCAAAAGATACTCTGAAAATTTTCATTCTTAAACATGATAAAAAGGGAACCAACAGCCATGTCTTTTATGCGGTTCAATGACTGACTTGTCAGAAGGCACATACTAGAAGAGGCTCCTAAGAGATAATGTCTTCTTTACATATGTGGTAAGGTATGTAAATAAAATAGCATCCGACTTTCACTCTATGTACATCTTGGCTGCCACAACAAGAAAAGAATGGCTGAGAAAAGCACAAAATTCTGAAAATCTTGCATTTTGAAGTTTGGACCAAATAGTAACTTTTTTTTTTTTTGCCTAAGGTGAGAGTTCTGTATCTCACCAGTTACCCCTTAAGTATATTACCATGACCAGATTCAAAGCATCATGCAATAGGATAATGAATTACCTTTCCAGGGTTCAGGGTCACCCATCCCATTGTGAGAGGTAGTTTCTCACATTTACCTGATAGTCCTGGTAATCCAGGTTGTCCTGTCAGTCCAGGTTCGCCTGGTTCTCCAGGCATACCTTGGTATCCTTTTGGTCCTGAAATTCCAGGAATCCCTTTAAGGATGGGTAGAAGAGAGTTGAGTTAGAATGATCTCATGAATTCATTGAAGAAATTTGGTAAAGCCAGCTACCCAAAGTCTGCCTTGTGAGTGAAATAGAAGAAAGAATTTGTGATATGAACCAGTAGCACTGGATTTATACTGAAATTCTGCACTTTTAATGTATCTACGGCCAAGAAATTCAAAACGCTCAATAATTAAGTCACTTTTTTTCTCTAGGCCTTAGTTGCTTACACTGTAAAATGAAGGAATTGGGCCAGATCATCTCTAGGCTAGCTCGTGAATTCTATGACTATCTTTAAAAACCCTATAGTAAAGGCAAAGTACAGTTTGCAGACTCTATTTTACAGAAGGAAAAAAGGAAACCTTGCACTGAGCAAATTAATAAAAGCCTCATATCCATTCACTGCCATTGAGTCCGTTTAGACTCATAGAGACCCTATAGGACAGGGCAGATCTGCCCTGTGAGTTTCTGAGGCTGTGACTTTTTATGGGAGTAGAAAGCTCATCTTTCTCTCATGGAGTGGCTGTGGTTTTCAACCGCTAACTTTGAGGTTAGCAGCCCAATGATAATCACTATGCCATTAGAGGTCCACAAGCCAATGAAGGCATCTCATTTTATAAGTAAAAAAGTAAAAATAGCTGGTCCTGCCTCTTTCATGACTAAACAGAAAAGTACGATTTTATCTTTAATTAAGTTGGGGGGTAAGAAATTCCACCTAATTTTTCTCATAAGGGAAACTTCTCTGTGTACACACAGACTGCCGATCTGGATGTTTGCAACACAAAAAGAGTCTCACGCTTAACTAAAAAAGTTGAAAATAAAATGAACAAACATTTTTAAATCCATGTTGTCTGAGGCACTACTCTAGGTAGATTAGATTATGAATTCTTTTGAGTTATTGTGTTTACCTATACTTTCTGATGTGTGTAATTAATACGTAAATGATTGTCTACAATAAAATGTTTTTAAATTTAAAAAAACATGCTACATTTACACCTCACATTTTTTCTTGTTTCTAATAAAATAACTCTAATAAAACAGCTGTTTTCTAGGTCACTTTTCAGCAATTTCCCTCAAGGACTGAGCTGGGGAGTTCATAGGCCACTACTTGTTTATACTACTGAGGTAGAATAACAGTGAACCATATTTAAAAGCCAAATATGGTATGATATCAAAACTGTTCCATAGATCAATGTACCATCTACTCTGATCTGGGTTCAAGAGAAATCTCTTTTTCTTAAAGGTTCAGCAAATTTCCCAAATACAGAAATCTCTTTTCTACTCAATTGTGATCATATATATTTTTTTCTCCCTACCACATCCTATCCTATTTTTTGGAAGGCCTGAGGGTAACTGCCTAAATTTATGTTCAAACCTAATACCTTGTAGTGAGTAAATTACTAATAAAATGCACAAATAAAAGGTGATCAGTGAGACAGCACAGATCATGTGCAAATTCATTGTCATGACCCAAATTAGATGTTTATAGGCAGGTTACTAACTGCAAGGTCTGCAGTTTGAAACTGCCAGTTGTTCCTTTTAAAAAAGATGAAACTTTCGATTCCCTTCAAGAGTTATAGTCTCAGAAACCCACAGGGACAGTGCTACCTTGTCTTACAGGTCATTCTGATTCAGAATTGACTCAATGGCAGTGAGTTTTGTTTGGGGGTTGCTTTTCTAGTTGTGATAACCTGGAGAATACATTACTTCTCATTGCCATTTAAGAAGTGAACTTCAGCTATCAGAAAGCTCATTTATAAATACATCTATTTACTTACCTGGTAAGCCAGGTTCCCCCTTTTCTCCTTTTGAGCCAAGCAGATTTGGATCTAATGGTCCAGGCAGGCCTGGCAGGCCAGGTTCTCCTTTACTACCTTTTTCTCCGGCAGGACCAGGAAATCCTGGCTGACCCTGAAAACCATCATCACCTACAACCAGCAAGTGGAGAAGACATAACAGAGCAATCAGCTTCATCCACCCCAAAGATTAGTCATATACTCCCCTAGTTGGGTAGGCAGCTGATTGCTTAAAACTGTTAGACAGCACAGTCATTGCTTTTGAATAACAAAAACTCATATACATCATTACATTCAAATAACAATCCCTCTTGCTTTGGAGATTACTTAGCAATGACAGTGATGGCAGTAGCAATGTCAAAATTTGTTCCAATTTGGTATTTTGACCCAGCAGGCACCATGTTTCATGGTATCCAATGCAAGTATGTTGCCAAATTGAAAATAGGACAGATTTCAGGGCCAGGTCATATGGAAACAAAGCACATTGAAGCAATGCACCTTTTAGAGTCACCAAATAAAAATATTCTGTATTAACATGACAGGGTGTCTAATTTTCCCTCACACACACACATATGCTAGGGAATTCTGAATATTACCTTTCAGACCCGGAACACCATTCCTGCCAGGAATTCCCAAAAGTCCTGGTGGACCTGGAGGTCCCATTATGCCCATTTCACCTTTGGTACCTTTAAAAAAATGTCAATGAGTAATTGTTTCCTTTCCTTGATCTTGAAAAGACAAAAGGCAAGTTTTGAGATGGCAACTAGCAAACTATTGAGGGTCCTACGGAAGGCACTGTGAAATGTTGTACCTTTTCATCACCTGCTGGAACTTTCAGGATGACCACGGCCAATAGTTTTAACACATGGCCAAAGAGATTTACTGTTTCTAATGGTGACCCACCAATGAAATGCATCTCTCAGTGCACCTCCCTCCTCAATTTTCTACACCCTTGTGCACCTCCCTCCCTTGATTTTGAGCTCACTCCTCCAAAGCCTTTGATTCCACAACACTGTATGACTCCCAATGCTAGATGTAAAAGCTTCAGGACTTCCACCTGAGGCTTCTGTAAAACTCACTTTTGGAAGCCACCTTCATAGAAATAAGCTGCCATGGAAGAAGTATAGCTGCCCTGATGCTATGAGAAGCCCAAGTCATGTGAAGTGGCCAAGGACATTCCAGAATCAGGCAAGTGCCATCTTCAAGGCACATTTCCCGGCCCCACTCTAGCTGGTGTCATGTGGATCAGAGAAAAACAATCCAGTCAACCAATCCCTTATATTGCTGACCTGCAAAATCTTGAGCCAAATACAAAGGTTGTTTCAATCAAGTAATTTGGGGGATAGCTTGTTATATATCACCAGATAACTGAAACACTCATAGACAAAAAAATGTAGTATCAATAGCAAAGTAAGTTTCCTGTGATTAAAGACGTCTAATATTCTTCTTTAAAGGATATTGCCAGTCTAGCAAAGTGTAACATGAAAATAATCCCCTAGAACCAAGGTATCTTTATTTTCCTGTATCCAAAGCCACGAAAAAACTTAAATAAATTACCTGGCAAGCCAGAGGGACCTGCTTTTCCTGGGAGCCCTGGAGATCCTGGAGGTCCTACAGGACCAGGTGCTCCAGGAGTCCCTGGACTGCCTCTTTCACCTGGGGGTCCTGGGACATCGAATCCAGGAGGTCCTGGATCCCCCTTCTCGCCTGGTATTCCATGCAAGCCTAGGTAAAAAGCACCAATATTAAAAGCATTGAAGCAGCTAAAAAAAACGTTTTTTGATAATTTCCCCCCTAGGGGAATGAGTTAAAAATATGAAAAAAAGTAACATCTACAAAAATAACACTCTGATGCCAGTCAGTTGTACATTCTTCTTTCTCTCCGACCTTTATGTTGATTTGAATAATTACTTTGGGATTTACACTCCAAATGGTTAGGGAGAATTAAAAAATTCATTTGATTTTAGATTATAAGAGGTTAAGTACAAATGATTGTAGGTGAGCATTAGGACTATGTATGGAGGCAAGGTACCTGTTGAGACCATTAAGGTTACATGTTGAGAAAATTTTTTGTATGTACCCAGTAAAACTGAAAAACAAAAAACAAAAAAAAACCCCAAACAAAACAACAAAATTTAGAGTGCTTGTGAGTTACAAATTGATCGGTGGTCTTTTGAGGCAAACGAAGAAAAATGCAACTTGTGAAAAATGTATTGTTAACAAAAAAGAAATGAGAATGCCTATAATATATCAAAGGACTTCAAAAATTCTTGAGAAGATGGAATTCAAAGCTAATGGAATTTTTCATGAGCATTTTGAAGCCCCTTTGTATTTGTAATAGAACATTTTCCTGACCCTTAACTCTAGATCCCATATGCTAAGCAACGTTAAGAAGTTTCATAGATTAGTACAGTTACTCAGATCTGAAAGGATCACTGCTAAAAGTTCTTAATTCCTGTGATTCCAAGACTATCTCTACCTCAATGATTATACAAGTATGTTGTTGGATTATTTTATTGGAAGTAGGTTAATTTTAGATGCCCTGAGAGGGGAAATACCAGAAGTCAAGTAGCTCTTGAGCTGTGACCTATACTTTTTCATCTTTACACAAGTATACAATAAGACATGTTACCATTTAAATTTGTTTTGGGGGAGATTGTTAAGATTACTCACTGTGTTAGACAGGATTCTCTAGAGAGATAAAACCAGATTGCTGATAATTTTATATATTTCTTCATAAAGATAGTTAGATATATAACAAGAAATGAACTGTTAAATTATAAACAGACAGATAGATATGTAACACAAGAAATGAACAGTTAAATTATAAAGCAGTACAAATGGCTCAGTGCAACTCACTCCCATGAGAGAGTTGTGAGACACTAGCAGTCCTTCAAGTCTAGTGCTGCCAGGTCTTTCTCTATAGAGAGAGAGCTAGGCTATCTCAGCACAGCAGCCAATCACAAGGCAGGTCACCAACTGTCAGTCCCCAGCTCCAGAGATGTCTTAAAGGGACCTCAACTTACAGCAACACAGTCCACAGGCTAGGCGTCCCACAGGTAGTGGAGCCTCTAAATTGAGGCACAGAACAAGCAAGGCAGACGCACACTGGTCCAATGATCAAAGACCAAGAGACAAGAAAGGCGAGGCTCACCGAGCCATTTGTCTCTCTGCCCTCCAGTTAATCCCACTTGTGTTTATCGGCCAGGATGGCACAATAAACTATCTCACTCACTATTGATTAATTAATCAACCTTTTTATAACAAAAAGCACATTCCTTTCCATCTTACCAGGTTGGCCTACTGGTCCAGGAATTCCCGGTGGTCCCGGTGGCCCCTGACTACCTACCCCTGGAAGCCCAGGAGGTCCCATTGGCCCAGGCTGTCCACTTGGCCCAAGATCACCTTTAAGAAATAGAGTTTAGATATTAAGAACAACAACCACTGTGTCTTTGGTTCTTAGGAACCACAATAACCATGTAAAAAGTTAAACCTCATTAAGCAAGATTTTTTAAAGCTGCCCATTTATTGAGCAATAAAAGGATACATAAGTACCCAATTTCTTTAATGAATATGGTAGTAGTTAGATTATCAGTATCTTCAGTGAACTTTAGTAGTTTGTGATTTTCAAAAGCCTTGGTGGTGCAGTGGTTACTCACTGAGCTGTGATGCACATGGTTAGCAGTTAGAAATCAGCAGCAGCTCCATGGGAGAAAGACTAGGCTTTGTACTCCTGTGAACAGTTGTAGTCTCAGAAACTCACCAGTGGTCACTGTGAGTCAGTGACTTTGGTTTGGGTTTTGTCTATTTTATCTAAGTCCCCAATTTATAAGAATAGAGTTGTTTTGCCATATTCTCTTGCTTTTCTTTCAATGTCTGAAACTATGGTCCCTCCCTAATTCTTAATGTGTCTTCTCTTGTTTTTCTTAATCAGTCTGGTTATAGGTGTATCAATTTTATTGATATTTTCAAAGAACTTCATTTAATTTTGTCATAAACTTGTATTGCTGATGAGATTTCCTGTTATTGCTCTCATAGACTACTTTCTGCTTGTATGGTTTACAAGCTTTGCTTTTCAGGTCTGATTTCTTAAGTGAACATGTATATAATTTGAGGTTACTTTTTTTCTGAATGCAAACTTTTAATCTTTGAACCTTCTTCCAGTCACTGTTCTCTCTACATTGCACAATGCTCTGTTTTATCTACAACACGTAACCCACTATGCCACCAGTGCTTCTCTCTTTTGAGAAAGAGAGAAACACAAATACACATTTGTATTGGCTTGGGTCTGTATTACAGAACACTAGGAGAATAAATAAGAAACTAAATAAACAACTGGAAAGTTGCTACATATAGGTACATGGAAGAACAGAGTGCATGGAGTTAGGACAGGAGGAACACTCTCAGTGGTTTATTCAATAAAATAAAAGACGCAAATATCAAAGACACGTTAAAAAATTATCAGTGAAAAACTGAAGACATGGGTTTTCCAGCTAACTGTACTATCATCTATAAACTTCCCTAACAGGTTCAATTGCTATGAAAGATAAAAACAGATAAAAAAGTAGCAGCAGTAGCCATACCTTTTGGTCCAGGGAGCCCATCAAAGCCAGTAGTTCCTGGAGGACCTGCAGGTCCTTGGAAACCACGATCACCTTTTGGACCAAGTGTTCCTTTTAAACCTGGAAGTCCTGGAGGCCCAGGTGGCCCAGGCAACCCAAATCCTGGTTCTCCCTTGGGTATACATGACAAAAGACAACAACCAATTAAGACAGAAGGAAATAGTATGAAAAGATGCTGATAAGATAGCCAATACCATTTCAACTAATCATCGCACAAGCCATCTGTGAAGATTCGCTGGCATTGAGCTGGTACTGAGAAGCATAGGGGCAGTTGAGGATTGCCGGCTCGCACCTAATCAGATAAGCAATTACTCTAAAACAGATTAAGAAGTTTTTTTCCCCTCTAAATATGACCTGTTAGAATATTAAGAGTGTTAACTAAAAATATAAACAGTTACGGCTTGTGTAAACAGTGAAGACTTGAGTTGATGTCAAAGTCAAAATCGAGAGTTAAGGCTAAGGAAGTTAGAGGAGAGAGGGGAAGAAGAAGGATCAAATGAAAATGTTTCAGACCTTTGGTCCTGGAAAGCCTGGCTTCCCTGGAGTGCCTTCTAGACCAATTCTTCCTGGTGTCCCTGGGGCTCCTGGAGGTCCTGGAATTCCAGGATAACCTGTAAAATGATGTCATAAAAATAAATGCAAAAAGAAGCTATTCATAAAGATAGCCCAAACTCTAAATATACACTTATCTGATTCATACATGCCAGTAACTACAGGATGAGAGAAAAGCACAATTGTATACTAGATGAGTACCCAGGATCAAGCCTGACCGGTACCTGATATTATTGCCTCTAAATCATCCTGCGGTCCTATCATTTTCACATAGAGCTCATGTTTGTGGAAGTTACGTATGCCCTTCATAAAGGAAATAGGGTTTATTATATAATAAGACAACATAAGGAAGAATCACACACACACCAAACAAATACTTCTGCCTCCATCTTGTTTTAGTATAATAAAGTGTAACTCTGGAATTTAGCTAAAAATAATTGGATATCACACACCCACATAAAAATAGAATTAAATCTGAAACTTTCTAAGGCACCTAGTGGAGATGAGTAAGAAAATGGCTGAGCAGGGTGCAGTACAGCACTGATGCAACACACAACATTCCTCTACTTCTTTAATGCTTCCTCCCCCCAACTGTCATGACTGCAGCCCTACCTTACAAATCTGGCTAGACCAGAGCATGTACACTGGTACAGATAAGAGCTCTCAACACACGGAATACAGGACAGATAAACCCCTCAGGAACAATAATGGGAGTAGTGATACCATGAGGGTACAGGGAAGGTGTGGGCAAAAAGGGGGAATTGATCACAATGATTGGTGTATGACTGGTCCTACCCAAGGTGACAAACAAAAGAAACAAGGGTGAAGGGAGATAGTGGGTGGGGTAAGATATGAAAATAAAAATAATTTATAATTTATAAAGGGTTCATAAAGGGGGGAGGGGAGGGGAGGGAGACAAAAAATGAGGAGCTGATACCAAGGGCTCAAGTAGAAAGAAAATATTTTGAAAAGGATGATGGCAGCATATGTACAAATGTGCTTGATATAATTGATTTATGGATTGTTATAAGAGCTGTAAGAGCCCACAGTAAAATGATTTTTTTAAATGGTCGAGTAATTGCCTTGAGACTAATGTGCTCTTGCCATCCATGAGATTGAGTTCTGCAAAAAATAAGGCAAAAACTAGAGGAACTATCTTAAAAATGTTCAAGAACTCAGGAGAATATAATCTAGGATAAAATATTACTTGAACGGCCAATAAACATATGAGAAAATGTTCCCGATCATTAGCCATTAAGATAAATGCAAATTAAAATAACTATGAGATATTACCTAACACCCTAAAAATAGCCCAAATAAAAAAATCAGAAAGCAACAAGTGTTGGAGGGGCCGTGGGGAGATAGGAACGCTCATTCACTGCTGGTGGATCTGTAGGTATGTACAGCCATTATGGAAATCTATTTGGTGATATCTAAAATAGATAGAGATTGAGCTACCATACGACCCAGCAATCCCCCTACTGGGCATACTTCCAGAAGAAGCAAGAAACAAACCACGGCCAGACATCTGTGCTCCAATGTTCACCGTGGCACAGTTCACAATTGCAAGGAGTTGGAAACAACCCAAATTTCCATCAACAGATGAATGGATCAAAAAAGGGGTACATACATACAATGGAGTACTGTGCATCCCTAAAATGCAGCGATTAACGCATGAAGCACATTTCCCCATGGGAAGAACTGGAGGAAATCATGCTAAGTGAAGTAAGTCAAGCACAAAAGGACAAGTACAACATGAGTCCACTGAGGTAAGCTTTAAAAAATGGGGCATAGGAGAAAAGCTACTATATACATACATCCCTGGGGTGAGGTCTGGCAACTATGGCAGGGGCCAAACCCAATCCAGGGATACATATGGCAGCCAACTAAATAAGAGGGGAAAGAAAGAGAAAAAAAGCCATGGGTAGTGGGGAGCAGGGCACTAATGAACCCAAAGGGAGGGTATTGTTTATATCCCCACAGGAGAGGGAGAGAGAAACCATGTTTCAACCTGATGCACCAAGACGTGAATACAACATACGGGCATGTACCAGGGAACCAATAGAACGGTCTGTGGGGCTGGCCTCAATCCCAACTATGTGGACACCCCCCACCCCCACTCAGAAGAATTCACTGCAGAGGACGGCACTGGGGCTACAGCTTGGGGAGAAGGGCATGTCGGATTAGAGCACACGGGAGAAATGCAAAGGGATGGAGACAGCGGAGAGGACATCCTGGCCCACCAAGCCCTGAGGACAATGTTCCTGCCTGGAGAAGACAAAGGCTGGCCCCACCATGGGACACTGTGTCCCACACTGAATCATGATGCTGCAGGGGACAGCACTGGAAACACAGTGCGGGAATAGTGCATGGTCTGGCCCCATCAACCTGGGGAGAAGGAGTGAGGGCATGCAGCGGAGCAGCAGTGGGAGCAGACTGATGAAACCCCCAGGGAATACCAAAAGTAGATTTGAGAGACAGAGTGTGGTGCCCCATCAGACTCAACTGGAAAACACTCAGAAAGGCCAACAAACAAACCTTGAGCTATTTATAGTCGTTTCCATTTTTGTCAGTGACTTTCTTTTTGTTATTGTTTTTTTGCTGTTGTTGTTATTGTTTTGTTGGTTTTGACTTCCTTTGTTGTTTTATTTGGTTTAGCCTGGATTTGCACTTATTAATCTATCTGCATGTCTATCTAGATAAAATAGGTGGGATAAATAATTCAGAGATGAAAAAAAACAAGCCCAGTGTTTGGGGGGCGGGGAGATACAGGAGAAGGGGATGGAGGACCAACGCAGGGACTAGGGAACAACAAGTGAACTAAAATCAATGGAGAGAAGGGCTTGGGATGCCTAGTGGGGCTCAATCAGGACAATGTAGCAGTGAGGAATTACTAAACCTGAATGAAGGCCAAACATGATGGTGGGAAAAGAGGGAAGTAAAAAGGAAACAGAGGAGGCATGTACATATGTAAATATATATATATAATGAGAGGGGAATAGAACTATGTACTCATATCTATATGTTAAGAATTAAGGTTGCAGATGGACATTGGGCTTCAACTCAAGTACTCCCA